CTCAAACTTGAGATCTGTGTTTCGAATGCATCGCTGTGCATTTCGCATGTGTTCTTGAGGAGGATACTTCAGGGTTGTTTCTCTCCACCCACGAATACTATTAGTAAACACCTGTATGCTAAAACGCCAGTTCCCTGAAGTAGTAGCTGCAATATTGATACTGTAATATGGAATTCGTCACCAGGGAGGTGAATATGTGTTACATAAGTGTTTTGATCCAATGGCAGGGGTAATAACCAACAAAGTGAAGGTCATAGAAGCCTTGTTGGCATGATGTGCTATATGAAACTGACATTATAATTATTATTAACTTCAGACAGACGAAGAAGGCCACTGAAGTAAGTGCAAGTTTGTAAACAGGCACAACGTTAAGAAGTCATCAAAAACACAATAACAAATTGACGAGATTGTATCTGAAAACACGTGATCAATTTTGTCTAGTACCGTACACTAAACAAACCAAAAGCTGGCCTATACTGTTATCAATAAATTAGAATAATGAATATAAAAATATATTTCGAAATTCAAATGTATATATTATTTATTGATATTTCCTGTTCTATTGAATAGAAGTCAATACTATATTTATAGAATTCTGAAATTTAGTATGGTGAACACATAATTCTACTGCCCTAGTTTTATTTCTTTATTTGTTTGTTTAGCCAAAAAATTAAGATATGTCCAAGAGTCACTTCCTCTGATGTCGAGATAGCACGCGTGTGTGGTAATCATCATCATATATTATTATCATTATTGATAAGTGATACATTATTTTGAAAACATTTTTAATGATTCTCCAGTATATGAACCGTGATACTCGAGCGAATATGCGAACCACTTCCATAATAACCCTTGGCTTACTTTTGAACGTCAGTCTGCGGTTTAAATTATAAAAAACCGGAAGTAATTGTCCTCTCATGTTTGCAATCAATTAAATAAATCTTTGCTATTGTGAATGAGAATGTAAAGACGCCCCCTGGAAGTGGCTCGCGCACGTGGTAAAGTAAATAACAACGCTTTAGAACAGACGCCCGAGATTGCTGAAACGACCTTGGGGTGCGCAGACCTACGCGAAGTAGGAAGTCCTGAACACAAGGTCATGCCTCCCTGGCTAGGCTACAATGCAAAACTTAAAAGCTGCATCCGTACAGCTTTATTTATATTGTAAATTCTATTTCCCAATATTTATGATACGATTAGTCTTTTTCTGAAATACAAAGGAGATATAGATCATCCTGACCGATAAAAAAGGATGAATGGATCCACGTTGCTTAATCCAGACTTAAGTTATATAAGTATACACACTGTGTCGGTTCCAAATCTAGGTCTCATAGTGTTTAATATTTTCTGAAGAATGCATAGGCCTATACGAATAATATAAATGATTTCGGTATCAAAGACAAATTTTTAAAAACACCTATATAAAACATTATCAGTAAGTGGAATTGAACTAGCGTCAACAGGATAGAGTATCGTTGATTCTGAACCTCTGTCAAATGAGCTAAAATGCATTTTGTCGTCGACAATGGTTGCTCTCAAAGCAGAACTGTATCAGTTGCAGCATCGTAACATCTTCTCCGAAGGTCGCTGGTTCTATTCCCGCAATGATCTACACTTACATACGTCAATACAATGGGTGTCACTTTTTAATACATTTTACACTCACCTTTAAAAGCATAATTCCATTGCATACAAAATCGCCGTACAACTTCATTTTTGGAAACAAGTTCATTGATAACATAATACAACGAAAAGGACAATAATGTTAAACTAAATAGAAAAAAATGTATTTTAAAAATTATTTACAATTAATTCGTAGACCTATTAGCATACACATATAAAGACGGTTTTAGTTTTCACTGTGGTTATATGTACATGTATTTGTGGATTTGTTGGATCAGAATCTGACATTCATCCAAAGTTCGTGTATACAATCATGAAAAATACCAGAAGTTTTGCTCACAGCCAAAAGAAACTCTACAACTCTATCATTATAAAAAAAAAATATCAGAAACATTATCACATATTTTTTCAGATTGCATTATAAAGTACGGTAACTATTATAGATGATTGAAGATTGAATTATCAGCTTCCCTGAATATACCACTTTCAACCAATCAGTAGTTGTAGAAAATATTTTTACAAAATAATAACAACGAGAAGTTTTGCTTAATGAGCGGGGCACGTAGAAGCCTAAGCTTAGAATGCGATCCCGGAAACTAATATAAGATTCCGTGGGCACCAAGTTTAAAAGTTAGGACAAGTTTTGTTCCAAAATTTAATGTGATAATGCTATCTTAAAATAACATTGATGAATGTGATTGGGCAAAGGAGGAATAAATAGACTGGTGCGATTGTTTGAAAAGAATTAGGCTATTTAAGAAAGTTATTGAAAAATAAGGAAAGGAAAAGAATAGTATTAATATGCAGAAGAAAGAAGAGATCCGTAGGGAGGTCAGAATTGAAAGTTTTTTGCAGATAGGCCTATTGTAACAAAAATTCAGATTTACCAATACATTTTCTTTGTATTCGATTTTGAAACAAAATTATATATTATATATTTTATATAAGTTTTTAAATATAAAATTAGAGGATTTATTTTAGTTGTAAAAATGTCGTTTAGTGCATTGTGTGTTAAACAGGAATTCAATCAGTGCATACAAAATAAACTTTCATGTTTTTTAAAAATTAATTTTTAAGAAAACATTAGGCCTATCTACTTTATGTAGAAGTGAAATTGACATTGAAAATAATGTCCTTAATCATTTTTGTGTTAACAGGCTCAGACTTAACACTTAGATTATTGAGTAGGGATTCCATAATATTGATATGAATATGGACAGGACAAAATAACTACTATCATAATACAGCGCTCCCTCCAATTCGAGACCCTTCTAATTCAAGACCACTTTTCAAAGAACCAAATAACAATCATCAATATTTTAACACAAAGCTAATCCTAAGTGGAGACCGAACCCCGAGACCACCCCAAATTTTCATGTCCCAAAGTGGCCTCCAATTGGAGGGTGAACTGTACAATGATGTCTGACGGTGGGTTTACATCGTTAACACTCATCAGGTATTGTGTAGATATGTATGGATAAAAGAAACTGTATACTGTACTCAATGTTTAATCGGCGTTACGGCACTGTTAAATAGATTGTGATGGGGGCGCTCAACTCGATGCCATCGATATTATGCTGGCGACTCAGAACCGGTTGTTCAGATAGGAGAGTTGCTAATGGTGTTTGCTGAAGTGTTTTCATAATACATTTTTACAATTGTACTATTGCTTCACAACTTGTTGACCTGACGATCATCTCACTTCACGTTTGAATCGCCACGGGGAGGTGTAGATCCATACAAAAGATATTAGTTTATCACTATCAATTTTCACCTCATCAAACAAAAGTTAACTCGAAAACAGCAAGAAATAAGCCATTTAGTTCGTTCTCTTTGGATCACGAAGTTCAACGTGTGTATATAGACATGTAATTCAATCGCACTTGTTGATTTCAAAATGATGGCGCTGTTCATCGAGTTAGTCATACATTTTACATACATTCAATCTGTAGTGATTGTTTCATTTATTCTGTCATTACCAGAATCAACACCTTACCTTAATTTGTTTGTGTTTCTCTTGACCCCTACTAATTCATTAACCTCGGAGTTCAACGATACCTAACCCAATGCCCTACACGGTCAACATTCTGTTTTGATATTATTGTTATCTATGGATTAATATATTGCTCTTAAAATGTTAATTAACTCCAGACAATTACATTTTTATGGAACCATATTTTTAAACTAAACGTCATAAAATAAAATAGACAATTTGGTCATGGCTTTAATTTCTGAAGTTTAAAATAATCGAGTATATAAAAACATGTTGATCACTAATACAAAGACCAAGTCGCTGTTTTGTGTAACTTTAACATCTTCTTTATTCGTATCACTAGTAAGGGCCTACAATAGCAATAAGCCGTTTCGTAGTCTGAAATGCGCATGCCCATGAAAGTCGATTGACATACACAAACATACACCACATGCACACAACATAGGTTTATTTCGATTGAACTTGGAAATTTTCACTACCGAAAACAACTCTATACTTTATGCCTCATATACGACTTAGTTTATGGCGAGCATCGTGTGTGTGTGTTTGTCTTGTTAAAGATTACTGTAATCATCTTGTGTGCATGTGTCTTGTTAACCATTGCTACTTAGAAATAATATGTTCACTATCATTATCAGTGGTCCTTGTGCTTAAAATTAAATTAATAAATATACAAATATATAATATAATAGTTAACACTTATTAACTAACTTTGACTCAGTGGCGGATCCAGAATTTTTAAAACGGGGGCATTTGTATTCTTTTTTGTTTTCTTATTTCAATACATAGAATTGTTTTTATGCACTAAACTTTTAAAATGTTGTGTGAAAATTGGAGGAACGTGTTTGACTCAAATTTACCTTTTCTTGAGATCATTAAATACTGTCTCTTATATATATATATATATATATATATATATATATATATATATAAACCTTATGTTATTATATAATTACAATTTTGCTAAATCACATTTTCTATCAACTCTGTTGATGTCGACATAGTCTTGTAAGAGTAGCAACACATGGTTGTACTACTCGTACTTGTAAAGAAATGCATGACAAAGACCACTTTAAACCAAGACTGTAAATACAGGCATTGGAGGCAGTGTTTATGAGAAAGCCAACTAAAATGTAGACTAGTTTTGGAGTTTGTGTTACAACAAGACAATCGAATAGTAATTAAAAACATGTAGTACGATATTGTTGAAAGTGACAAAATTAAAACAGACGAAACACTACATAATTGGTGATCAATATCAATCCTAGACCGCAAGTTTTAGATCTTTATCCGGGCAGTTTAACTAGGAAACATAAGACAAAGAAAAACAAACAATGTATTGTTTGGAATAGGGTAGTGATTCGTAAAGTTGTAGTTCGCGTGGCTACATTACCACACTAAAGTCATGGACTTAAAAGGCCGTATCTGTTGCAGAGACTGTTCGCTGATGAACATAGCGATTCTGTTGTAGATATGTCTATAGCGTTTCTAATAAATAATAGAACAGAGGTATGTTGAATTAATTTTTTTTTCTATGTTGGTACAGATTTAATATGATATAAAAAAAATCTTATTAAGCTTTACTTAGTTGTATTATTATATACATGCTATTTAAATATCTGCAGCATTTTTTTTAATACACAACTAACTTGAGTAAATATTCATTAACAGGTTAGTAAACATATTATCGTTTGAGTTGTTTGTAAGCAAACGAACGTGGGTGGACAACGAGTAGACCTCCATTGAAAGAAATATTTTTAGAAACGTTTACAAAACGTGCATGTGAATCTAACAAGTGTGAATTGCGTTGGACTATGGTTAGAGCATGGCACTTTGTTGGTATGGAACGCCAAAATGGTAAAACTACCTCACGCATAGATGCAAAGTCATTTAGAGGCTAGGCAGAATTCAGATCTTTGATCTTAGACGCAAAGCGACAAATTTAATTTGACGAACGGTAAACTTATCAAATTAGTTACACAATTATTAAAATTATAATTGGCATACATAATTTCTTGAAGGGTTGCGTGGGGAATAAAACATTTTAAACTTATATTTTTATATTAGTAATACAAAAATTGCATATACGACTGAGAAGAATACAATGAAAATCATGTGCAGTAAAAATAAAATATAAATACAATTTTTATTACGCTTAATATTTAGGTTGGGAAACAAATACTTTATCCTTGCATGATATTATATAATCATAAATAATAACTGTAAATTAATCAAAAGTAAACATTGTATATTTTTGTGAACATACATTTCTTACTGACGGATTTGTAGTCATATCATTTAGTGTTTTACTGCTCTTACAATTATATCGGCTAATTTTTATCTAACTTATTTACGATTATACAGTACGATTATATTTCAAATTCAATTTATTCTCTCCGCCTGTCATTTATGGCATATACTCTCCGCTACATAATTTGGCCTTTTTGGCGTCCCACATGTTGAACTAGAAGAGGTGGACCAAGTTAAGGGTACTTGTTTGAACTATAGTTGTTGACACATTGCATCGATGAGCGCAAAGACGCAGCTTTTTTTTTCAAAATTGGCAATTGTGTTTTTTCAATCCCGCATTCGTACAGATTTTAAAGTTTGTAGATTTCTATTTATGTCATTAAACTAACCTTCATTGTGACTTTTTTCTCAGGATACATGGCAATATAGGTAGTAGACTATTGGTTGAAAATATCAGGAGACGTATGGTGTAGGCATATAAAGCATAGACGTACAGACATCAGTACCAAAGGAATTTTCCTTTGACTTCATAGGTTTATTTGAGAAACAAAAAAAAAAAAAGAAATAACGGATAAACTTTGAAATGTGGAATGGTTTGTCTAATCTGGATCCGGTTCTTATTGTGAACATACCAAGGAAGGTATATATGAACCTTTAAGTGTTATGGAGATGTAAACATTTAATGAAATCTCACTATCCAGGGAGAATGAACTAATATTGATCTTAAAAGAAGAATTGATTTTTGTTGGTATAACCAGCCTGGGGGAAGCATTACGAGTGATAGAAGACAATACAACAGACATATGCCTACACGCTCAGCCAAATCGTCTACATAGATGAAACGTAGTAGATTAGGCCTCGGGGTTGATAGGCAAGAATGTTGATAGTACGTTCGCCAAGACAACGCCAGCTTCCACCCTAATAACTGAATAGAACATTATTAAAATGTGATAATTGAATACCCAACGGAAGCTGAGGGGCTTGGGATATGATATTCGATATAGTGCTACAGTTTACCTCTATGAGCAATCAGTTAGCCTATTTATACCATTTCAAAGGGTGCACACCCACCATTTGCGTAACTTATGATTTGTTGAACAGTATTTTCATTTCAAATGGTTTACCTAAGTCAACTTAAATAAGATGAGCTACAGTTTTCTGACTGAATCAATAAAATATGGCCAAGAGCACTAAACACTTTAAACCAAATCGATCATTACCTAAGTTCCGAGGTTTGTTTTTCAAGGTACACTATTAATACATCACAGAATAAAGTCATGACAGACAGACAGTTTAAGTTAAAAGTTTAGAAACTTTTGCGGGAAGTTTAAAACAGTTACTACATTCAAAAACATTGTGAGATTATAACTGGAATATTTTGTTATGCATAGGCACATTTTGTTATCATCAAAGCAAATGATAATAAAATTAATAATAATAAAATGATATTACTACTAATAATGATTTAATGACAATGATATTAATAATGATAATTATGATGATAATAATATTAATAAAAATTGTTCTTATTATTAGCATCCATCCATATTTAATTGCATTTGCTAATAGAGATGAGGTTCAAGTGGAATGCTATCGACACCATATATGTATTATACTATAATATAATTGTAAAAATGTCTGCCAACATTGGCATTACGTTTTACTGTGAAGTTGGTTCTTTATAATGCTCTATTAGTACGTTAATGATCGTTAATAGCGTAAATAACGACCTTTTTGTGCCCATAAAATTGCCTAAGGTTTGAGGCTGTACCATGGGATTTTCTTGATCGACATTTGTATAGCTGTACGGGTGATTCTAAGCTTTTCAATCAGCCTACCTTTCAATACAGTACATAGACTTGTCGCCATTTTCTTACTATGCAAATATTTACTTTGAGAATACCGCAAAATCTTACGGAATCCGGAAAGATTTCGGGACCTTAGGGCAGGTTTCAAAAAATATACGATATGAGAAAAAAAACACCACCCAAAATCTAGGCTGCTATGTTGTGTTATGCACTAGACATTATACTTCTAGGCTGGGATAGTATGACTTTAGCATCAAATTTAAGTATTGTGTGATTCTACTGTATGCTTCACATATGCATTTTTTTTAACTGTACACATCAAAATGGCTTCAACTATACGTGGTGCTTGAATAATAAGCCGGATTACTAATAATTGCAATTCTTATTATAGACAAATACACTATAGGTTTGCTTGTAATCGCCAGTAAAACATTTGCTAAAAGGGCACGAATTATTTAGGTTTTTCAAGGACAATCACGCGGAACACCTTATAATAATCACGTTTTCGATCAGTAATATCGATAGGTGTTATCAAAAAAATTTCACTTCCTACGAATTTTGTACCGTAATGGCTACTTGTCAAACTATGTCGTCGTAGGATAGCAGACTATTACCGATGTTTCTTGTGCCGACTTATAGTTTTTCCTTTGAGAGATCTAAACTTGTTTTGTTATTTATCAGATGCCCAACACCCAACATTATCTTACTTTTGCTTTCATCTTTTCAATGAATTAGAATAAGAATTCGTAAAAAAAGTTATCACATTGCAGTAAACGGTCGTTTTGGTTATCGAAACATTTGCCGAAAGTTTCAGTCCAACTCACCGCCGTTCCACAGAACATTTCAGTTATAGTGACAAAACATTTTAATTATCCAGTTTAACTGTCAGGAATGCTTTCATACTTTGTTTATAAAATGGATAGAATGTTATTTTATGATGTTTTATGTTATTGTTTAAAATATCAAAATTGTAGTGAAGATTAGCATTCGTGTTTGCTTAAGAAAACTGAATCAACTGCCATATTCACATCACAATTCCTGTTATAAAGAAACTAACGTGTGACAGTACTTGCAAAGCATGGAATTGAATCACCCAATTGATTAAAAGTTAGAAAATTGAGTGTTGGACCATTAGGCTGATTAGCAGTCGTTGACATATGTTTTTGTGGCATACTTTCAATATCTCTCAATCAATGTTGTCAATCATTTTTCTGTATTGTCCATCTTTTAATTGATTTGGTATCAATATCTTGATTGACATTGCGCTAAAAAAACAAACTTATTGTTTTCATGCGGACTGAACCAGTGTCAGCTTCGGGCATCAGCATTCTTTCGCAGCTTATTTATATGCTTTAATACATTTCAATTGCTAAAATTTATTTCCGGTAATATGAAGGTGAAATCCAAGGCCAAGGAAAGATCTTCAAATACAATTAGTTACCTCCAACATTTCCTTTTTTTTTTCTTCTATCAAATGCAGTGGGCTGCATGTCAACGAAATTGTATTTGTTTTACTAAACAGTGCAAGGAGTGCGTTTGTCAAGCTTAGATTGATTGGCACCGTATTCATGTTTATTGCCGAAACTTATTGCGAAAATATTTACTTTAGTTCAAATACTCATATTTTTAAATGTACTGGGTTTCATTACCGTTATGCCAATCGCGTTCAATTCCGATATGTATTTTTATGTTTCTACATAATATTTGGACGTACAATATACAGTACAAAATATAAATTTAATACATATCGCATATTCTTTTATTCATTTTTGCACGTAAAAATGCAATATAAAATTTTAAAAATGAAAAAAAAAGAATAGTTAGGCCTATATGCCTATCCTAGAAGAGGCAAGTGCATCAATGCACTGTCACCGGTAAGTGATATCCAAAACACACTATCGAGAACAAAGCAAGAATAACAAAACATTATTATATTTAAAAAAAATTGCTGTAAATAACATTTGATAACATTGATTGAACCACAAAGAGAAATTCACTAGAGCTGAATTTCAGTTTACGTTAAATTTATAATGAAACAACATTTGACATTAATGACTAATGTGAAGAAGTTAACAGCTTATGTTTAATTCTAAAAAGTTTGTAGCCTAATATTAATATAGCAAACAAACAAAACAGTGGAATAATCTTTAGTCTTATGATAACGGTTTGTTTGAACGATATGGCTAATGTGGATTAGTATAGAAAATTTAAACCACTAAAGCTTACAGGAACCATCAAAATCGAAATGTACTTGTCCGTCCGAAATAAAATGCCGTAAGCAATCCTACCGAAATTAGTTATCGTTACATTATCGTGTGGAAAAGATCTTAAAGCAAACGTTGTTCTCTTTACGCAGGACCTTAATACGCTTATAGGATAAAGTTATCGAAATAATTACCACCTTTGATTTGAATGGAAGTTAATTTATTTTGTGTCAACACTTACATAAGAATAAAACACACATCAGAGGATGTAGCCGTGAAGTAATCAGCAACACTAGAGAATAATCCAACTCAACATTACTGTGAAGCTTACCACAGTATCGGTAAATGTGTGTCACCGTAATGGAGATAACATAGCTGAATGCCTTATCTCATTTCAAATTATAATTCTAAAATACCATTAATTTTGAAAAGAAACATCAAGTTTATCAGGCCCATATTAAAAATATTTAAAATATACTGTCCACATTAAACTAACTACAATTAATTCAATGAGTTAAGTTTGTTTAAATTCATATATTTATAAACCATAAATTTATATACATAATATATATATATATATACGCTGTAAGCCTAATTATATATATATATATATATATATATAATATATATATATCAAATAGATAATAACAGTGCTCAAATATTTAGTAATATGATGGCATAAGTCGTATCAAACATAGTTCATCAACGAAAGTTCCTTATTAGTTGTATGAAAAAAGCCTCTGGTGGGAACCAAACACACAATCTCTCTCTATTCTCTCCATATTCAGACCACAGAGGCCCGTACGATAATATCACAGATCTAAGACCATTAGTATCTCTCCCTTTACATACTCAAACATAGTGGAGCGAATTTTATAAGCTACGTAATAGCTTTTAGGTAGCAGCTGGTAAATCATAGGAAATAATATTCAAATTAACTTTTTGCTGCTTAGCACTGGGAACACAAATAATGTATAAATCAATAATAATACAGTGCTCAATAATATTTGAGCACTGTATTATTATTTATTTGATTCATAGGCTATTATTTTGTGTTCCCAGTGATAAGCAGCAAAAACATGATTTGAATATATATATATATATATATATATATATATATAATACTGTACATATACAAATGTACATTCATATATATATATATTATAAAAAGCAATCAAATATTTAATATATTATATATATTGTATTATATTAGCTTAAAACCATAGGCAATGAACCCAAAAATTTATTATATTTCAAAGCAAAAGAGCGACAAATCTACAAGCATCAATAACGATATAGGCCAAAGAGCAGAAAAGCAGAACCGTGTTAAGAAAAAGATAATGAATTTAAAACAAATTATCTAAAAATAAAAACAATATACATTGTATATACAGTCAAAAAGTTTTTAAAGTTTAGTGAAATTGTTCACATTCATTGAGAAATTAAGAAGGGGAGATCATCGCATCTATTATTAAAACCAACAAAGTACAGTTTTAAAAATGATAATGTTCAATATAACATTTATTGATAAATAATAATAATAATAATGACTATTAATAATGATAGTAATATTTATATTAATAATAATGAAAATACAGTATTAAAATTATTAGGAAAAAGTAAAAATTAAATGTTAAAGAAACAGTCATTAAGGGCAATCATTAATAGAACATCTTAGGTCTGTTTTCAGTTCAAAATCATTATTTTAGATTTCGTGATACTGTAGCCGGTAGTCATATCTAAATTCAGCAACAATTTTGGCAACTTTGTGTTTTAACTTGCAAAGCATGGATTTTGCTTGATTCAGCAATTGACTGCATAACAAATCTCGTAGAGCGTCAACTAGCAAATGAAATACAACGGCTTTAGAAAAGTTCATATGCACCATCTACAAGTTTCTTTAATGCGAATTCATGAATTCATTCCAAATGTAATCGTAAAATAAATTTGCACTAAAAAAAAATGATAGTCGTTATATTAAAATAAAAAATGAAACATAACAATTTGTTCAATTTCTTCTTATTTGATAGATTCTGGAGGAGGAAAAGGCGTTTTCAGCTATACTACATTTTAGTTGTTTGCTCACATTAAGCGCGCATGGTAAAATAGTACTAGAATGCGCCCACGTCACATCACAACAACCAATCAGAATACTTCATTAAACAATACAGCCCCAGTTGATCTCTGACATTATCTGAGAGCTAAACTAACACATTTATCAGCATTAAATAAGAGAGAACCTGTTAACAACTTTCAGACGTACTTTACTGTATACTGGTAAACGTTCCCCTGTAGGGCTGTCACAGAACTGATTCTGGTGTCGAGGATCTCCATTCATCCGTTTGAAGGCGGCGGAAGTGTTATTTAAAGTCACTTGTTGATTCTACCTGTGAGTTTGAATAGCCCATAGAGGTTAGGGACACACGTTGCTATAATTGAATAACACCCATCATTAGCATTTGACTTTTTGACAGAAGTACGTTTTGTTGAGAGTGTGACCCAGGAGCATACCCGATGAAGAAACTTCGGAAAATATACCATCTAGTTGTGGTTGCGTGCGTCACTTTTGGCGGCATAGCCTTTGCGTGTTCCCCGAGCAGATCTGGTGGCAGCAGCAGACGACAAGACGCTATGCGTCCATTAAACTACAGGGAATATGTTCCGAGTATGTCCGAAGTTCAAGTACCTGCAAGTGGAGAACCAGAGGGAAGGATTTATCGAGGTGACGCTGCCTTTAATGAACTTACTACAAATATGAATTCAGACATTGAGTTCAAAGATGAAGAGGAGACAGGCGCCGACCAGGTGATGACGCAGGTATATATAATTGTTTTATTTTGTTTGATATCATGACAATTGCTTATCTATATTGGGATCGTTTAAGTTGATAAGTACCGACGATTTGGTATATACTGGTAGTAAACCTTCTTTTTTTTGATGGAAAATATAATATGGAATATTACACCAGATAATCTGTCTCTTATACACATAAGGACTCATCAGTGCAGCTCAGATAAATTTGAGATTGAACCTTAGCTATGAAACAAGCAAGCTTGTAACAAGGCAGTTTAAAAGCGCTCGTAATACCATGCCGAGAGTGCTCAAACTACATATAGTAGTGGGCCAGCTAATATATATATATATAGTAAACTTGACATGACATGATGTAGAATGTACATGCACCGTGGTTCTACTAATACAAGTTCTTTTACACACTATCTTTTACAGACACAATCATCTACACTGTTTTCAATGAATCTAATAGTGTATTAGTGTTGCTTATTTTCCGTGCGTAAATAATTTAACCTTATGCGCAACAGTATTTTTATGGATTCATCCACCGTGTTATACAGTATAAATATAGAAAGGTTGCCATAGGTCATGGTAAAATAAAGGCTATGGATACGATAGTTGAACATAAATGTACTATTAGTGAAAGATAACAATTAATTCATAGAGTTCCATCAATCAATCGTTAATGATTTATTGCTACATTTATCCACTTATCGAAGTTGCAAATAAGTTTTAATTATTATATATTTCAACAATACAAGGTAACTGTTTTTACTACAACTAAACACAGCAAACTATACTTAAATATTAAAACTAAAATATATACAGACAGAAAAGCATCTAGCTAAAAGAATTGTAGGCCTAATCTTACCAAATATACAGTAAGAAGAGAAAGGTACAAAAACATTATTATCTTCGAAACTACAAAGAAATGTTGGCATCCATGCTCAGGGGTGGCACCAGCGGGGTGGAGGGTGTACCAGGACCCCCGTTGGGGAGAGCTTACCCCTCCCCCGCTTGGGAGAAAAATCACAATTCGTCGGGGAAAAATAAAATGTATATGTATTTTCTACATATTATAACCTCAAAAAGCGATTAAATAAGCCTTTGAAACCCATAAATGTCCTATTTTTCCGGGGCTTCGCCCCCTGGAACACTTTCGAGAGATTTTGAGCGACGTCCGAACACGCCCACTTTTTTTCTGTTTGGACATCGGTCCCCTCAGGACGTCGCCCCCCCCCCCCCCCGTCGGTCAAATCCTGGCGCCACCCCTAGATGCATGAAATATATTACAGGGACCAGTACATCATCGTTAAATGTATGTGTTTACTTATTATTATCGGGTATTTTTTATCATATCATTATCATTGTATAAAATCTATATTAACATATTTTTGATCATCGTTTCCACAATATATCAAATTACCAAGTTTGTTTGAACGTGAATTTTAACAATTCTTGTATGAAGCAAGTTCAGCGTTTTATAATTAATATTTCTATCGAAAAAAAAATCATTCGTTTCACACAATTGTTTACTATTAAACCCTAAGTGGCTGCCGAATCGTGTATTATGATATAACATGAGAAAATGTGTCCTTAACGAGTAAATGTAACTAAATATATCATTTGACCTCATTGCTTAGTTAAACAACTGAAATAATCGAATGGTCTTGGTTCAACCCCGATGAGAACACTAAGTTAAAAAAAAACTATTGGTCATTTTACACAAGTAAATATGTACCATATTTGTTAAAGTTTATTATATTATGATACATACTGCACAAAGAAACATATTCTAGACATTTTAACATTTGTCGTGTTTTTTATTGACATAATTCATTGGAGATTAAAAAAAAAAAGAGGAAAAAATACCCGAGAAATTCACACACAATTTTCGGGGCGCAATTCATTCTAGAAGAGCAAAGCCAAACAGGACACGGGGTGAACCACCGGGTAGACTGAACGGTAATATTAAGTTTCATGCCGGATGATATAATATGAAAGTTTTCCTTATGACTAAAAGTCACCGAAAGGCCATGATGATACTCTGGATCTCTGAACGTGCTTTATTTATTTTTTTATTTGTTTACTTTTTCATTGAACGAGGTTAGTATGTGGGCAGGCGCCGTGTTATAACTATATTTTGAATAATCATGTTGAAATTTGAACGAAATCATGATGAAATATATAATGGGTCTAAAGTTCTATATCAACAATGAACAGAAAGCGCTTGATACCGACCTTTTTATACCTAATAAAGAAACCCAACACACACAAATGGTTATAGCCACTGATAAGAATACTACAGATACAATAATTGAATCATCACTCAAAAATAGGTTTTGTAATTCAAAGAAATCAGGTTATAATGTTAGAGTTAGCCTCTTTTATAAACTAATTAAATAGTGCTAACATCAAATATAGTTGAGTAGTAAGCCTCGATTTTTCTCTCGCTCAGATTTCTAAGTATATCTGTTTATAATTAGTCAATAAATATTGTTTATAAACCAATAATACCTGTTAGCTCTAGGGCTTTGGTGGTACTAGATGGTCTTTACATTGTCTTTAATGTGTAAAACGAAATGTGTTCGTCTTGTAAGAAGGCCTACGTTTATGACCAATCTTCAAGCATTTGGGCCTCGCTACAACTGATAATAAGAAATTTAGTACGCATATCCAGAATGAGGGTGGTAAATATAGGTCTAAATTAAACTAAATTAAATATAAGAGACAGTATATATATATAATAACCTATTTTAAGCTAATACCTTATTGCATAATTACAGTATTACGACGTGTAACCTAATTGTGTAATTTATAAATCTATCATAAAAGGGTTTTTAGATTTGAACAAAAGGCCAGGGTAAGACGTTGTGAGAATCCATGATTCTTACGGTTAACAGTTTGCACAACATCTTAGCTTTCTGCTGAGCCGTGGCTTATGGAAATGAACGAAAATATTTTGCTTGCGTTGTCAATCCGCCTTTTGTCCTTTGTAGACCCCTATGTCATTGTTTAACATGGGGTAGAAAGCCATGCAAGGTCAAATTTACCTCAGTTATGTGTACTTTATAAACAGCAAATTTAAGGTTCATGGTGAACTTTAAAGTCCACAGATTAAGAAACATTTTTAAGTTTCTAAATTATTATCATGCTGAATACAGAAACTTTTTTTTATTATTTCTACTATAAATCGTACGGTACTTAAAAATTAAATGTATTTCTTTTATGAAAGTAAATTATATAGACCTATTCGAACGATTTATCTAATGTGTATAATGTATTATCGTTATATTGATTCACTCATCGATTTTTCCTCATCCTTACAGTTTACAGTGTATTTATTTACATTATGTTATTTATATGATGAAATTAGCATTATGATATAGGCCTAATAATTTGCGTGTTATACATGCAAGCACAATAATAGACAACAACAAACATTTCATAATCGAACTACGTTGTCGGTTAACAACCTTTTGTAAAGCTAGACAAAGGTTGTTAACCGAAAAACCCTTGCTCATATTGTTTGATAAAAAGTAACTGACAACATGTCTTTACCATGTACTACTAGGCCTATATTATATATAGGCCATATTATATTAGGCCCATTGTATACATACTGCATATATTCATTTACTTATCTATAATATCTTATAATTATATAATATTATTAGACTAGAACTATCTAATTTCAGTATTTATACCACATGTATTACCTAAAAAGGCATTTTTAGCATTTTGTTTCGATATCATGAGTAAAATGATATACTTACGAATGAGATTCCTTGATCGGAAATCCATCATTATTGTTTGACCATAAACATATGGAAAGCGAAACATATTGACATAAAGAAAGTGCTTTGTTACACAACTTATCAACGTAATATCATATAACAGAATGTAAATTACTATTTTCTAACTGTGATACAATTAAACTAAAATTGATATATATATTATTAAATTGTGAAAGGTTTTAGTAATTTTCCAAATGCAAATCATAGGAAAGAATACTAAAAAATCGTCATTAGAAATAGGTGTAAAAGTAAACACATAGGCCTAATCTGGAGAACAATACATAAAATCTTGCTAAAATCTGTTTAGGTCAGCTCGTAATGTGGCAAAACACTCGTGAATATAATATACATAAAATAATTGTTTTCCTTTGACGGCAAACTACTAAGTAAATTGTCCGAGTGAGCACCACGAGTACACAGCATAATTGAAGGTAAAGTGTTTACATTATGTTCAGACAATTAAAACAATTAGAGAATAAAAGAAATAGGTAAGTGGTTACCATTGTCCATGAATTCGCAGATGGACTGGTGCTCTATAAAAGAACGCTATACGTTCCATGCTGTTGGTTAGCTTAACAATTGCAGAGATTTTCTCAGTCAGATTGTGTTTTAAAAAAGGATTGTTTTTTTTTATTACACGGAGGTGTATGACATTAGCAAACATCTAGGCGAAGAAATTATCTGAGATTAGTATGGTATGCATAATCGAATCTTTTTTTAGTATTTTTGAAAAGAAGCACAGACTGCGTTAGTTTCTACAAAAATGGGATAAATACATACAGTAATTAATAAATGTTACTAAAAGAATAAACAATATTAAAGTACTGATACGTAATTGTACGTTTTCATTTCACAGGTCCCATTTTCCCATAGTCGGCAATACTTGTTTAAATGTTCATACTTCATCTCCTAAATCCTCCATAGAGTTTTCTTAAAAATTGTAGTTTTTATTATATTTTTTAAAGATATGTTTTAATGTTAAATTTATATGAACTTACGTTGAAATTTAATTTGTGTAGAATAGTATATCTAATTTAGAATCGCTATGAAGTTTAATCTTTCCCTTTTTGCAGGTACAAAATATAATTTACGGTATTTACAATATTAGTTGAAAAACACGTTATTCCAATATTGTTTATATCATACACACACTCTATAACATAGCCCTAACTATATTTATAATTAGACTTAGGTAGCTCGTCGAATAGAGATCGATACGTTATGACA